CTAGGAATCTTGGTGAAAAATCCTACATTCTGAATATTGTTTATTCCACTGAATAGTAGCAATCTAGATTTTTTCTGTTAATTGGGACCCCTCACTCCTGCCAGTTGAGTGCTCCCTTTCTCTACCTTTTGGTTTCATGTTGTAAGAAGCTCAAACCTGGGGCTCAAGAGATAGCTCAGCTGGTAAGTACAAGGACCCATGTACTGGGTATGTATCTGTGAGCCAATGCTGCGAGACAAAGATTTCTAAAGCTCATTGGCCAGACGCCCTATCCAAATCCATTAGCCCTGGGTTCAGTAAGAGACTCTGTCTCCAAAATAAAATGAAGAGAGATTGAGGAGACACCCCCCCCCCAACACACACACACACACAGAGGAAAGAGATTCACGGGAACACGCATATACAACACACATAGAGCCCAAAGTTGCCAGTAAATAACATGGTTTATTCATTAAAGCCATGCTTCTTGGCAAGCACTCCTCACTTTCATACTTGACCTACTTTTCAAGGTGACCTCCAAAGTCATAGGAACCTAAAGACTCTACCAGTGAGTTATTAGGTCTAAGAAAACCACCAACAAAATGCAAATAGAAGCACACTAAAAAAAAATATGTACAAGAATTTCTTATTCCTATCAGAATGCCGGCAACCAAATGGTAAAAACATATTTAATACCTACTAAGAGTAAAATGGATAAATTGTGGTATAATAATAGAATAGTATACAAAAGTAAAACAAATGCACACAAAAGTGAAACAAATATACAGCTGCTACAAACACCAACATGAATAAATCTCACAATGTTACATAAAATATAACAAATATATTTTGTTGACACAAAATATACTACGTATAACTTAACACACATAAAGGTAAGTACTAGTAAATCCAATATTTTATCTTAAAATTCAGAATAGTGACTTATGGACAGATGAGTAATAATTAAGAGATAATAATATAGTTGTGTATGTAGTGGTTATATAATTATCTTTATGATGCCATTGGTGCAGAGCAATCTGTGTATTTTTCTGTATGTATGCCGTGTTTTCATTAAAAGTTTATTTAAAATAAATTCATCTAAGGGCTGGAAAGATGGTAGATACAAATATTTCTTGTTATCTGCATGGAGATTCTTTAAGAATTTTATACTTACCAAAATCTTGAGTGTTCAATAGACATACCAAGTATTAACATGTGGATTATAATAATCAGGCTGCCATATTATCTATGTAAAAATCAAATAAAAAGCTGGTATATGCATATAATTCTAGCACTTGGGAGGCAAAGGTAAAGAGTGTGATTTTGAAGTCAGCTTGAGCAACATAAGACTCTTAGTTTCTAAGATTTATTTTATTTTATATATGTGAGTACACTGTCACTGTCATATACACAGTAGAAGAGGGCACTGGATCCCTTTAAAGATGGTTGTGAGCCACCATGTGGTTGCTGGGACTTGAACTCAGGACCTCAGGAAGAGCAGTCAGTGCTCTTAACCTCTGAGCCATCTCTTTAGCCCGTTCTTGGGTTTTTTTTTTTTAAGTAACATTTCAGAGACAATAAAACCAGAATTAGTTGAATACTGTGTCATAACATAGTCAGATGAGCATGTCAGTTCTCTTTAGAATACATTATTTTCAGGTGTGTGTGTCTTATGAATACCCAATGTTTTAGAGTTCTATAGAGAAACAGATTTATAGGATGTCTGTTTGTCTGTCCATCAGTCCATCCATCTATCTATATCGCTATTATCTATCTTCTCCTCTATCTGTCTCTGTCTCTAACTAGGCTATTATTTTAGAATGGCTGACAGGCTGTGGTCCAGCTAGTCCAGCAATGGCTGTTTATCAATGGATAGTCCACGAATCCAGTAGCTATTCAGTCTATGAAACTGGATGTTTCAGCTAGGCTTCAATATATACCTGAAGTGAGCTCTAATGCCAGTGAAGGAATGGACTTGCCAGAGAGAGGGAAAGCAAGCAGACAAAAAAGCTTCCTTTCTCCATGTTCTTTACACAGGCTACCACAGAAGATGTGGCCCAGATTAAAAGATAGATCTTCCTACTTCAAAAGATCTGGATTGTTCTGAGTTCGAGGCCAGCCTGGTCTACAGAGTGGCCTGGTCTACAGAGTGAGTTCCAGGACAGCCAGGACTATACAGAGAAACCCTGTCTTGAAAAACCAAAAAAAAAAAAAAAGATCTGGATTAAAGTTGGGTCTTCCCACTTCAAGTCATTTAATTAAGAAAAAAGTCCCTCACAGGTGTACCCAGCCACTTGGGTTTAGTTAATTTTAGATGTAGTCCAGCTGACAAACAAGAAGTAGCCATCACACCCAATAAAGTAGGACTGTTGAAATGAGAAATATTGGAAATGTACTAGATGTATTATATTGGACTATCTGCAACCATTTAAAAAAAATAAAAATAAGAAGAGAGTGAATAGATGGTCAGTGCCTAAGTGCACCAGCTGCTCTACAGAAGACCTGGGTTTGATTTCCAGCATCGACCTAGGGGCTCATGACACTCTATGACTCAATCCTAGGCATCTGATGCCCTTTTCTGGTCTAAATAACTACCAGGCATGCATGTGGTACACAGACATACATGTAGGCAAAATACCAATACACTAAAAAAATATTTAAAAAGAGAAAAAAAGTGAAACAGGATATAAATTTTGAAGGAGCTCTAAGACGAAACAGTATGATCCATACTTTTCTAAATTTCAAAGCAAAAAAGTTTTAGGCATATAAGCTTCCATCAAAAATATCAAACCAGTATCTACAAATACTGCTACGGGGAAGCTAATCACACACACACACACACACACACACACATACACACACACATTTTTATATGGAATTCAAAAACAAAGGAAAACAACAATTGCAGTGGTGGTATTGCCAAGTGTGGCTATAAAGAATACAGAGTCTCTCTGGGTATTAGACATACCCTATATGTTGACAAGGGTACTGGGTACACTGAATTGTAATCTGGCACTTGAACATCTTACTGTGTTTCTAAGAGAGGTTTCTACTTTTTATCCCAAATGAAAAACTGTAGAGTCTTAAGAATGTCACTCAACATAGCATATTTTGTCCTTACTGGATGAATTAAAAGAAATATCCAATGTCCTTTCTCACACATTCTTCAGTGTACCCAATTTACCTCCTACCTCAACCATTTCCACAAGGATGGTATACCTGGTTAGCAGAATTAAATATAGTTCAGAGGGCAAAAATGCTTAAATTTCACTCTTTTTAAGACAAACATCTTCAGGTCTTTTTTTCCTTCAGACAAAAACAAACAACAACAAAAACTAACCTCCCAAAAGGAACAGAAATAAGGAAATCCTAATGGAAACACTAATCTTTTAAATCATCACTTTTTGGTGTATCATTTATATTGCTATACCATAGCTCATGAACATGTTCTATGTCCAAATGTCTTCAATTCTCCAATTATACTTGGACAATCTGGTTAAAAATGATAGAAAGTAATTTTTTTAAACTTTTCATTACCCACTACTTTTCTGTTTAGTGAAAAAATGATCAGAGTTAAATATAAACAGTTCAAAGGACAGTTTACTTTTCAAACTTTAAAATGCCAACAAAAACATAAAGCTGACTCAGCTTGATGTTACAGGGGCATACCACATGCTGTATGTTACAGAACACTGATGTGAAGTTTCCTGGATCGTTTTACCAGGTACTTGGTCTGGCCTTCCCTCAGCTCTAGTCCTTGTGATCTGTTGAAAAAATTTAGACAAGACACAGAATAGTGAAGACAAGAATTTATTAAATGGTAAAATAGGGTACTCATAAAGAGTGAAAGTAGGTAGTGACCAAAAGGAACACTACAGATGTGAACAATTTCATGAGGTGACATGTTTCTTAAGTAGGCTTTGTACTATGTAAATTTCTTGAATAGACCATTTTCCTATTTTCTTGACAGGGAAATTTGGATGAACTCTTAAGGGAGGGAGAATAATAGATATATCTTTATTCTTACCAGAAAGCCCTCCTCCTCAGCATCAGATAGTAAACTTAAGAGCTTTGGCTCAGTTTAGAATGTCTGTTTCCACCAAGGTCAGAGATGTGATTTAGATCCCTTTTTTTTGTGTGTGTGTGTGACCAGTAATCAAAGTTGCCATTTCAGTTCCTAGTATTGTAAGCTGCAGACTGAATTGGGGGTTGGGAGGCATCCTCAGTGACCTTTAAGCCTGCTCATTTGACTAGCTAGGTATGCAACAGTAGGCTTCTTGGTTCAAAGAAGCCCTTAACCCCACAGCGAGTTCATTATCCTGGCTATTCTAACCTCAGTCAAGATAAGTAAAACTACTCAAATACCTTCACGTTTTACAAGTATGCCCTGTATCAAAGAAACTCCACAAGACAAGCACGGTTATCCCAGCATTTTGAAGATGAAGATACTCAGTAGTTAACAGCCTCGTGAACGTCAGCTCAGCCTGGGTTGTATGACTTGTCTAAAAAATGGGGGCGGGGGCGTGAGAGGACAAACTCATTTTTCCCTTTAAAAAAAGGCCTTAGAATGCTTGAGCAGAATGCTGACTAAAGTCGCTGAAGAAAATAAAAATCAGTGGGTAAGATATGGGTTTCTTTTAAACTCCAGCTTGTAAAGGAAGGTGAGGCCACGGAATGGCACTACGCAGGATTGGGGTGGTCTTACTGAGGCTGCAAGACCGGGGTCCTCACAGAGCTGAGGGAACCGGGAAAAATTCACTCGTGGAAGGAGGTTTCCGGTGAGAAAGCTCACTCGCCCCGGCCCAGCGCGGTGCGTTGCCGGCCACCGGCTTCCGCAGACGTCAAGGGCCTAGAGCGGGCGCCCACCTCCGCAGCAGCCGAGGGCAGGCCGGGCTCCGCACGCGCTCAGCTCCGCAGCGCTCACGTCACTCGCCGCGCGCCAATCGCGGCCTGGCGGGCCTCCTCCCGCCCGAGCCCGCGAGCCCCCCGGCCGCTTCCGCTCTCACGCAAGCGCAGCAGCGGGGCAGCGGACGCCGGCGGCAGGATGGTCCTGGACAGCGTGGCCCGCATCGTGAAGGTGCAGCTGCCCGCCTACCTCAAGCAGCTCCCGGTCCCCGACAGCATTACCGGCTTCGCCCGCCTCACAGGTAACCCAAGCGCAGCCGTCCTATCCTTGCGCGCCGCCCCGTGGGGGGAGCTGTGGAGAGCCCGGCGCGGGGAGGGGCGGGGCGCCAGGCCTGGGCACGTGACCCGCGGCCTGTGTGCGCCTGCGCGGCGCGGCGGCGGCGGCGGCCTCCCGGAAAGGTTCCTCTACGAGGCGACCCTGCAGGTTGAAGCTGAAGAGAAGGTGCTGAGTTAGCTGCAGCGAGTGTTGTTCCTAGACTCACTGCGGCGTACAAAGTCCTTGCTGTCTGCGCGTCGGGGAGAAGTACTGCCTCCACACAATGCATGCATGATGCATTTATTAACGAAATCACCAGTGACCTCCATTCCCGACAGCACTTGGAGGCTTGAAGTCGCCTATCATGGAGGCATTTGAGGTCGCCCCCGTAACTACAGTTCCTGGGGCAAGTGGAGGTGGAGCAAAAGTAGCCAGATGTATTCCAAGGCTGCTATGATTTTGGAGCATAAAATCTAGTGAATTAAGGTCCCGTCTGTATGAGAAGGTTCCCACAACTCAGTAATAAATATCTTGACTATGAAAGTCGACAGAATGCAGTCAGTACTTGAAAGATTGTGTTGGGTTTGGAGCATAACGTGCAGGTTAAAATTTTCTAGACCATATCTCCAGACTGTATGAGATGGTGACAAATTCAGCACAGCCCGAGATCCTGAGTATCAGCGAATGCAAACATGAATTTAGATAACTCTGAGGTGAGTAGGCTTGATTGGCCTGCAGCATTCTAGAGACATCTGACTTAAAAGACATAATTGGAAGACCCAGAAGAAAACTAAAGTGTACCAAAAGATGGAATTCAAGCCAAATTGATGAGGAATGTTGAGATGGGTGTCCCCTCCATTCCAAGGAAATGATTTTGTTTGCTGTTTGGTTTTCCTTGAGTGAGTCCCTCAAACAGATGTGCATTTGATGCTAGTCCCTCCCAGGGATAAAAAGTAAAAACAAAAAAGACTCATGTATTTATATGGATACACTTATACAGACTTTAACAAACTTTTTTATTGTCGGTGACAACTGCTCTGCTAACAAGTAGATGTTAAGCTTTTAACATGTTTAAATATTAGCTCCAGTAGAGTGTATGAAATAGATTAGAAAGCAGGTTAGCTGACTAATACACACTAAGGAAACATGTAGACACCCAAAGTAACATAAAAGTAACAAGAAAAATAATTCCAAACGTTCAGTTCTTCTCTATAAATATCAAAATCTCTTGGTCCTATGCCCTTATGTTTAAAAGTTGTAGCAAGTATGTGAAGACTTTCCTCCTTTGTCATTTCTTTACCTCTGCACTACTTTAATGTAACCCTTCTGCAGGTGTTAACAAGTGCTGATCTTATACTCTGCCTTCATGTCCCTTTATAGCTTGAAATTTAGAGTTCTTTATTTTAAATAAGTGAGTTGTAGTAGTTTAATGTTAAATATGCATAAACTAGTTGTTTTCTCTCTTTTGAATTGTATATTCTTGAATGTATTCACTAAGCTGGTAATGCAAAGCCAAACGGGCAGAGTCATTTTGTGGCATTGTTCTGCTTTGCCAATTTATTCTAATACTACACATTAATTAGGTTTTTAAACTTTTTTTTCTCACCTCACTGAAGGGCGTCTTGCATGTGTTGGTTATGACTGAGACTGCATTTATGTTTCAATTTTTTCTGGATGAAATGTTCTTGAAACAGGTTAGCAGGTATGACTCTTTGTTTAGTGACTAGGAAACTTTAGAAGCATGTTTCCTTACAGGTCTATTCTGTCAGTAAATAGTTGATCCTTATTAAAGCCACTAAGGAAATTCAGCCATAACTTTTCCCCCCTCCTAAATCAATAGTAGCTTTCTCTTTAAAATTATGAAATATTTCATGTTAGCACTGTTTCTTAATAACCATTCTGGTGTCCTTTTTGTTTTCAGTCAGGTCTCCTGTAATACAGGCTGGCTTCACACTGTAGCTGAGGATAATGTCAAACTCCTGATCCTTCTGCCTTCGCCTCCCTATTGTAGGCCTGGTTAAATGTGTGTGGCCGTTTAGTAGTAGCTATTTAAGCCCCAACACAGTGTCTACAAATCTAATTATCATAATCTGAATTGCTAACTTGACTAAGAAACATGCTTGCTTGCAATAATGGCTTTCTGAAAACATTCTGTTCGCACGGTGACAGTGACAGTTACAGACTCTGGTTTGGAGGACTGATAAAAATCTGCAAGCTACTTTTCACCTGGTCTCCCCTCATGTTTTCGTTCTCTGAAGGGAGCTACTTGAAGAATCTTTCATATAGATTTTCATTGAAATAAAAATTTAGAAGACATCTTTTAAGAAGTTTATATACATGTTTAGACGACCAGAAGTATCATCGTTTTTTCGCATGAGAATCAACCAGAAAAGGTTGTAGTTCACATTGCCTCTTTCCCTATTTAGATTTCGATAGCTCCTCACCCCACAGTTCTCTCATGATGAGTCTGCATTCTTAGAAAACATGTCAGTTCTAAATTACCACACAGGATTTAAATACTGACAATTTTGATCTGTCAGAAACCATCTTTCTTTCTGTTAGAATTTCAAGAATGATACCTTTAAGGTAAACTGGTATGCTTCTCCTCTTTGGAAATATAATACACTGATCTTAAGATCCATTTTCTATCATCTTAGAAAGCTTTAAAAATAAAAATGTAGGAAGAAAAATGTTCCCGTTCAAAAGTCAGAAGACAGTTTATTTCTAGATTCATAAACTAGCCAGGATATTTTGCTCACAGAACTTGTTCAATTATTTGAAATTTGACAAAAAGCTTAACTTAAAAACCAGCAAGTATGAGACTTTAATAATGCATTTTTCTCTGGGATGGTGGTACATACTTTTTATCCTAGCACTTAGAAGGCCAAGGCAGATGGATCTGAATTCAAGGCCAGCCTAGTTTATATAGTGAGTTCCAAGATAGACAGGACTACACAGAAAAATCCTGTCTCAAAAAAAAAAAATTTTTTTTTTCTGGATAACACAAGGACACTAGCCTGAGATAAGTTTAACTTTGGCCCAAAGGGACAAGTTTTGAGCCTATAATTTAGAAGGGGGTAACATTGAAACCATACATCCACATAAGGTCTTGCTCATCTATGTTTGTATCACTTTTATTTTTAATGTTCTTTCAAACTGGAAGCAACCCAGATATCTACCTACCAACAGGAAAACAAATTTTATTCATAAGTTTTCAAGTTTACATATAATGCCATAAATACCTTAATTACTGTTTTCTTTATGAATTTTTGGTTTTTTTGTTTTTGTTTTCGAGACAGGGTTTCTCTGTATAGCCTTTGTAGACCAAGCTCACCTCGAACTCAGAAATCTGTCTGCCTCTGCCTCCCACGTACTGGGATTAAAGTGCGCCGACACTGCCTTGCTGTGCCTGGCTTCTTTATGAATTTTTAATGCATTATTTACTGCTAAGATACAAAAAATTATTTCTATTTCTCAAACATCGAAAACATTCTGCTGCTGGGCATGGTGGGCCGTGACTTGAGGCAAGAGGACAGCTTGTGAATGTGAGAACAGCTGGGGCCAAGAGTCTAAATTCAATTCCAGCTCCCAGCTCCCACGAGGTGACGCATAACTGTATGTAGTTCCAGTTTCAGGGAATCCAGTGCCCCCTGTGTCCTCCACATGCACCAGACACACGTGGATGTGGTTCACAGATACACATATAGGCAAAACACTCACACACATAAGCTTTCCTTGTTTTTAAAGAGAAGGAGGGAGAGAAGAAAAGAAAGGAGGGAAAGAGGAAAGACCATGGTATGGAGTATAACAGAGGTTCCTATTATGAAGACCTAAAATTTAATTCATATAACCCAGTCTAGTCTTAAGGTACCAAGCCTGTCTCAGCAGTTCCTCCTGTCTCAATCTCCCTAGTGTGAGGAAAGTTGTTAATATCATTGACTAGCTTTACTGTTATTACTTAAAGCCTGATATTAACTATCTCAAGATCAAAGGGGCAATAAATTTAATAAACTTTCAAAAATTTTCCCCATTCTATGATGAACACAACAACAAGTACCTAGAAAGTTACATGGCCTGTCACAGATATTCAATAAATATGTGATGACTGAGGAAATAGCTATATGGCAAAAAATGTCAGAGCCCCAAACATTGTCCACAGAGGCTAAGTTAATTCTTATATATACATATATATGTATATATAATTTATCTTATTTATACGTGCAGTAGTATTTTGCCTGCCTGTATGTCTATGTGAGGGTGTCCGATCATGGAGTTATAGACATAATAGCAAATGATTTACTGGTTGAATTACCAATCATGGAACTCCTCACTAACAATATAAAATAGATAATTCACCAGAATCTGGATTGGAGGTACTAATTTTAATTACTTTGACAACAAAATTTAGTAAATAAATGCCTAACAAGTTCCCATTATAACCGCTAGTCAGTGGAATCACCATTACTTGTATCTGATCAGCTATCCAAAACTAATTCATTCTTCTTTTGACAACAGGCAGTAGAAGGTACTGAGGAAAGATTGTATTTGCTAGTCCAGCACCGTAATTCCAGTCTTAGGACCTCCCAAATAGCTGGACAGAGGATACAAGAGGAAGGAAGACTACTGGAAATGTGTAGTGTGAGTCTTCCGGCCCAGGTTGTTTCTGAGGCAACACACAGTGTCTGAGACTAATGGAGAACACAAAGGTTTGGGATGTGGCTATAAAGGATGTGGCTTTGAGGTGGGGCCTCTAGAGGGAGTCAGTGGGTCAGAGTTAGGTGCTGGCTCGGTCTTCAGGAACAGGGGGATTTCTTTTTACTTCAAAGTCCTTTTTAATCTCCTCACGTTTTTTAAGCTAGGTTTAACGAGTTGTAGTTCTGAGCCAGATGCATTACAACCACATTGCCCAAAGTAAATCCAGGCACGAACCAGATAGTGATGTCAGTGGGGAGGGAGAGGAGGGTGTGAAGAGAGCCTGTCCTAGTT